CGGGATGTGGAGTATAGTGTGGGGAGTGGAGTCAATGGAATTGTAATAGATATGTACGATATCAGGAGGGGGGTGTGGGTTGGAGGAGGGGGGTTGTCACTTTATGAGGGGTGAAAAGTATAACTATTACATTGTTTTGTACACCTAAAACTAATAAAAAATTTAAAAATAAAATAAAATTTAAGGATGACTTCACCATTACCTGAACACAATGAGGCCACACTATCCCTTCTATATTCTGGCTTTTATATGACATATATTCCTTATCTTTCAAGTCCGTTCTGTTTTGTCTACACCCATCTATTCTTGTATATTTACTCACTTTTACTGCGCTAGTTGGTCTTTGCTAAAAATCATAAAGTGAGACAAAAATAAAGAATTTTATGTCTTACAAGCCAGAGTGTAATGGGGATGATGCAGCCTCATTATGTTGACCATTTGTAATGGTATTTCCCTTTTGGCCTATGTAACTGAAGTTGTAGCATAAGATAAAACTATAATTCTTGGAGTATTACCATTGCTAAAGTGAGATTATATGTAAGAAACATTGTGGCCCCTCTGTTTCTGCAGAATCCCAGTGCTGGCAGCCATATCATCTTTGTTCCTACAGCTATGATCCAACCTCAGGCTCAGAGTCAGGCCACTTTCATTGTTGGTTCTTCCCTAACTTTGGCCTAGTTAATTGAGCTTTGTCTTTCAGTTCTAAGACTTTGGCCTCAGTCTTACTTCCCCATATTTTTCCCATTCCATTGCTCTTAGGACCAAACTCTTCTATGATCAAAGATCCTCCTGGTTCTTGCCAATCATCCCAAGTCTGGTTTCTTGTCTCTGGGCTCCAGTCCCCTAGTATTAGATCTCCCTGTATTTGACTGCCTACTTTCCTAGATCTTCATCTCCTACCTGAATCCAGAGCCACACAAACTCTCCTCCATGGAGGTGTGCTCTGTCTGCTGACCAGAATCTATTTTGGCTATTCACAAACTGATTTTTGCTACACTTAACTTTTCTTCATAGACCATGAAAAGAGTCCTCTTTAACTGCCTACTACATCCATTCCATTGTCATACCCTACATATGATATCAGCTGCTAGATCTACAAGTAAAGAGAGGCAAACTTGAAAACTATATTTCTTTATTGGTTTCTTTAAATTTGGCATATTATATTATGAAAGAAATGCATGTGCCTATTAAATATATTATATAGTAAAATGTAAACATCCTATCTTCTCCTTCCTCTGATCTCACCCCTTGGAGAATAGTTAGTAGTCTAGCAGCAATAATTTTTAAGCCCAACTGCATTTGTATCACCTGAGGAGTTTTTAAAAAAATACTGATACTTTTTTTAAAAAATACTGATACCTGGCCTCTGCCCAGTGCTCTGCTAGCTGCTAAATGTTTAATAACCACTCTGGAGAAGAAGAGGCTGATTTTTATCACTTGCTGATTTCTATGGCATAAATACTTCTCACATTGGTCAATTTTAAACTACAATAATAATGAGCAGTGGGTATGAAATGGTGGATTCAATCAGCTGGTAAAATTCCTGAAAATTTTCTAACCAGCTCTCCTGAGACAGGATGCCTCTGCGTCTACTACCCCCATCCCATCTTACAATAATTGAATCAGAATCTCTGGGGATCAGTTCAAGGAAAATTTGTCTCACACAGAGTGCTTTCAAATTTGTGTTTGGCCACTAGGTTTGCAACTGGATTGTACTATATCACAGTGGTGTAATCTTCTATGATATAGTAACTACCTCAACTTTCTTCATTTGTAACATGGGAATATTAATTGTACCTATTTCATAGGATAATTATGAGGATTAAAAGAATTTATTTACAACACTGAGAACACTGTCTGGCATATTAGCTATTATTTTCTCTTAACTCAGTTTCTTCATCTCAACTGGACCTCCTTGAGGGAACTATCCAAACTTGATTCTGGCTATCATTTTTTTATTAGTTTCAATTGTACAAAACAACATAATGATTAGATATTTATACCCCTCACAAAGTGATAACCCCACCAATTCTACTACCCATCTGACATTGCACATATCTATCACAATACCCTTGACTATATTTCCTATGCTGTACTGTACACTGCACTGTACACCTGAAGCTGAAGCTGAATGATATTGTATGTCAACTATAATTTAATATAGATATAGTCACAGGATGTGGAGCATAGTGTGGGGAGTGGAGTCAATATGACTATATATATATATATATATAGTTATATATAAGTACATATTATATATAATATATAGTTATAGTTATATAAGTTATAGTTATAGATTATAGTTATACTTATAGCTTTATAGTTATAGTTGTCATTCAATATTATTTTATGTTACTTTCAGGTGTACAATACAGTGGTTAGGCATTTATACAATCTATGAAGTGATCCCCCTGATAAGTCCAGTACCCATCTGACACCCTACACCAGTGGTTCTCAACCTGTGGGTCACGAACCCTTTGGGGGTCGAACTACCCTTTCACAGGAGTTGCCTAAGACCATTGGAAAACAAAAAGATATTTACATTACGATTCATAACAGTAGCAACAAAAATAATTTTATGGTTGG